AGCGGCCACTGCACTCCAGTCTGGGTGACAGAGTGAGACTCCAACTTGGAAAAAAAAAAAAATCTGCTTTCCTGTCTATAAAATGAAGCTCTTGATGTCTACCTAACATGGCTGCCACGAAGACGAGACACTGCATAAAGTCCTAGCACAGTGGCTTTCAAATACAGAAGGACCCCAAAAAACCTGGAATTTATTTATAAAAAATTGTATATTTATTCTTACAAGGTTAAACTTCAGTCACCTTCAAAGGACTCTCCATACACCTATTGAGATGATTTTTTCACTGCTCAAAACAGTTTTTGAACCTGTCCATTTCAATCTCTTAGTGCCTCTGCTGTTCTTTGTTTCACCTTTTCTACATCAGCAAAATGTTTCCCTTTGAGGATTTTTTTCATCCGGGGAAACAAAAAAAAAGTCACTCAGGGCAAGATCAGATGAATAGGGAAGGTGGCATATAGGGGTCATGCTATTTTTGGTTAAAAACTGTTCAACACTCAGCTCAGCGTAGACAGGTGTGTTGTCATGGTGAAAGAACCAGTCACCTGTTTGGCACAACTTGGGACATTTCTTCTGCAAACCATGATGCAACGTTCTCAATACTTCCAGATAAAAACTTTGGTTGACTGTTTGATCTGAAGGAAAAATTCTGAGTGTACTACAAGGGGCCTGCCCTCCAAAAGGTTATTCTAATTTTGGGGGGGTCCCTTCTCATAAAGCATTCAATATTCATTAATTATGTAGTCACTCATCCACCTCAATTCTTTCAGGACACAACTTGAACCTATCTATTTTCAAATACCAAAGCAGAAGGTCCCAGACAGAAACAGAACATGGATATTTTTTGTCAAAAGAATAAATATGGAAACATATTTGGCAGGCACACAGACTAATGGATTTTAACGAATGAATTTTAAGAATCGCAACTTTCTTTAAACTGGAATCTCTAGACAACAAATATTTTTCAAACGTAAAACACCTTAGTATTCCCAAAATAAACCACATTTGATCACAACATAATATGATGTATTACTCTTTTTACATAACATTGATATTCAATTTGCTAATATTTTGTCTGAATTTCTGTATGGATGCCCACGAAAGAGAGAAAGAGAATGGCCTGTGATTTCCTCTTTTCAAAATTACCTTGTCAGATTTTGGTATGCGGTTCAGGATAGACTTGCAAAACTGTAATAGCTAAAAAGTGTAAAAAGTGTTCACAATACCATTTTTTAATATTAAACAATGCAATTTAACTGTTTTACTCTGGATTTGGATTGCTGACATTAATAAAAGTTATTCTGCTCAACGCTGCTCATATAATTACCTCATCTCTACCGCCATTGTCCTTATCTTCTGATATCTCATCTTCCCCACCTTCTATCCCCTTTGGGGAAAGATTCATTTTCTTCATTCACCTTGATTTTTTTCCTGCTTAAATTGGACAAGATTATTATTAGGTACATCAATGGCCTTCAACATGCCTCTGAAATGTGCAATAGTACATTTGTATCCCTAATAAGTTCATCTTAACTTTTATTTTCATTTGGAATATTTTACTCACACCAGCGAATATTAAGAATAGAAAAAGAAGATAATTGTTGATGCATGTTTTAAGTCAGGTCTCCCATACATCCTCTTTTGCCACAAAATCTAGAAGTGAAAATCCCTCAAGGTTTTAAAGAAAAAAAAAAGGCCAACTTCCAGGAACTCCTCCCTTCTCTCATTCTGTTCCCTTCATCACGTGTTTTCAAATAACTTTCCTTTTTAAAAAAAAATTGTGGAATCCATGCTTTAACTTGCATTCAATTTTGTTGAAGAGTGCTTCTAACCCTCCAGAACAAAAATCAGTTTGTTTTGTATATAAACTCTTTTGTAATACTAATAAATCAAGCACTACCCACTAAAAAAAAATTAATTCCACCAGACTATTCAAATGTAACTAAAAAGGCCAAAATAAAGGCCCCATACAGGGACAAAACCAATATCTACAATTCAAGTGCCATTACCTCTTCAGCCAGAGAACTCAGTGTAAACTGAGGCAGATTCCATCACTAACACCATCAGAATCTGGAACACAAACGAGCCTATAATCACAGCTTCCCAAGTTAACCCGTTACAGTCCTGATCCTAACAGGTTCTCCTCCTTCAAGGCTGTCGCCAGAGTAGGGCCCCGCCCTCCCAGAGCCCTGCAAGGGCTTGGAGGCTGCCGTGCTGCGAGTCACCGCCCGCGACGCCCAAGAGCAGGTCGCCCGGGAGAGCCCGGAGAGTGCCCGCAGGCGCAGAGCGATCGAGGTTGCCCTCCCTGAGGCCGCCCAAGACCCAGGGCCCGGGGGAATGACGACCCATTCGGCGACGGCGTCCTCGTGACTCCGATTCGGCCAACCAGAACCCGCCTCACCCCTGGGCCAATCCCAAGCCACGACCCAGGGAGGGGAGGGGCTTGGAGGCGGGGTCTCCGGCGGGATTGCACGTGCTGCGCCTGCGCGCCGGGCGGACATTTTGGTTCTGCCTGGTGCGGGGGCAGGTGGTGTACGTATGCTGTATCTAGTTGGTGCGGGTCCCTAGAATCGCGGCCAGGCAGTAGGCGCTGTCTCTGCAGAGTTCGGGGAGTTCGGAGAGCTGGCAGAAGGTCACACGGCCCGTTGTTCATCTCCCGGTGGGGCGGTATGAAAGTAAACAAGCTACAAAATCACCTCCTTGAGGGCTCTTGTGCCAGGATGGGGCCCAAGCGCTTAGGCTGTTAACCCGTGTAGGCCGCCTTCTTACGCAGGGCGTAGTGTGTGTTTGTGTCGTCACTGTCGTTTTCAGCCTGAAAGGCACGGAGTTAACAGTCTGAGGGTCACAGGATCAACCCGACGTAGAGTGGAGACTGGGCAGTGAAGCACTTAGTATTAGCGATAGAGAAGACAGGTTAAACTGGGAGAACTGCAGGGCCGTAGGAAAAGGTCCCAGCTCATTGACGTCTGTAGCACCTGGTGTAGAATCATGCAAGCAGGCAGCCCGGCTGTAGGAAACTAAACAGCTGTCTAATTGCTAGACGCTGAGATACACCTAGGCGCTGCACTGTAGTCTGTCTATCCAGGATGCTTGTGGTTGAGAGCTGACCACCAACGCAGACACAACTTCGAGACCCCTGAGCATGGACATCAGTAACCAAGGCTAACCTAAGATAGCCATAAACCTTCATACTATTCGCATAAAATTATCCTAGGGTAGCCTCCCATTCCCATTGTACATCTGCTATCATAACAGTTACCTATGACCCTATAAAGGCTAAAACTCCCCTGTCAGTTGTGAGAGAGGAACAGAAACCCAGCCCTAGGACCACCCATTTCTAGGAAAAATCCATTCCTTAGTACCTCTAAGAATAAAAGTTGATTGGGCGCTATGGCTCAACCTATAATACCAGCACTTTGGGAGGCTGAGACGAGAGGATGGCCTTAACCCAGAGGTTCGAGACCAGCCTGGACAACTTGGTGGTGAGACCTCGTCTCTGCAATAAATCACACACACACACACACACACACACACACACTAGCCTGGACAACTTGGTGGTGCGACCTCGTCTCTGCAATAAATCACACACACACACACACACACACACACACACACACACACACTAGCCTGGACAACTTGGTGGTGAGACCTCGTCTCTGCAATAAATCTCACACACACACACACACACACACACACACACACACACACTAGCCTGGACAACTTGG